GACCTTCATCATATCCAGGGATTCCAGGACCAAAAGGTAAAATCACCTGATTAACCTATGATTCAAAACTGTCATTATTATTGTGAGATAAATCTCATTCTTAATGCACATTTTCAGGTGAGCGAGGCCTTCCTGGTTCCAGAGGTTTACAGGGAGTTAAAGGACAGAGAGGTGATCCTGGGCCTTGGGGGAGGAAAGGAATACACGGCCCACCTGGAGACATTGGTGAGTGGTCCAACAACTTTAAGATACGCTAAATGCCTGTTTAGGCGTCTTCAAACAGTGAAGCAGGCACACACTGCTAACTGGGAATAACCATGTCATGTAAAGGTGCAAAGGGCGATCGTGGTGATTCTATTTCTGAACCCGTACGGAGGGCTCCAGATGGGCCCCCAGGACCACCTGGTTACCCGGGACCCATTGGGTTGCCAGGTGCTGTGGGTTCACCTGGGCGTTACGGACCAAAAGGCAAGAAAGTCTTTTATTTCAATGTGTTTGTCTGCATGTCCCTGTGTATACTGTATCCGTGTCGAGTTCCATTCATAATAGCGCTTTGTTTTGTTCACCCCTTTTTGACTCATTAACTAGAGAGGATGATTAAACAAAATTTCATTTCCATTTCAATGAAATTCTGATCAAATGAGTCTAAGGCCACACGGTATTGTAGTTGTTAAAACATCTACCTCAAAGTTATGAGGTTCTGGGGTCGAATTTCAGATCCAGTATTCCTAGGTGGAGAGTTTACATGTTTCCATGTCAGATTGATTGAAGATTCGTAATCGTCCATTGGTGTGAATGTGGGTGTGAATGGTTGTGTGTAAACATGTGCATTGTGATTTGCTGGCAACTAGTCCAGGGTGTACCGTGCCTCTCGCCCAATCTCAGCTCCAGCTCACCCGCAACCCGAATGAAAGCGCTACAGAAAATAGACCATAGAGTTATTTGGCCATAGTGATGGTCAGTGCTCAACTGAGAACCATTCGTTTTTCTCTTCCCTTTTCGGCTCCAGGACCAAAGGGTCCAACAGGTTCTCGGGGCAATGCTGGACCTCCAGGTCCTCCTGGTATTGATGGTCCTATTGGTGAACAAGGAGATTTTGGTGAGCCAGGATTTGTTGGGCCACAAGGTGAGTGAAAACCTGATAATTCATTCAGGTTTTGCGTATTGGAGCTGATATTAGGAATAAATAATGAAGATGCCACCAAGTTGGTGCCAAAGACCTGCTTATGTTCGAAATATAGTCATTGATTTTTAGGATGTATGTTGAAGTGATACCGCTAGGATTTGTAGTTGGTTTCTATAAAAAATATCCAACAGCACATTTTTTGCATCAATTGCTCATGGTTTTCTGCACCTCTGTATTTTCTTTCTTTTGAATTTTGTCCACTCTTTGCATCGCTGACCACTCTTCAGGCAGCCCAGGTGCACGTGGTGACCCAGGCGCGCCAGGTTATACGAGGACATCAAGCTCAGGGTTCCTGTTGGTTCTTCACAGCCAGTCAGTTCAAGTGCCTCATTGCCCCGATGGCACCAGCCAGCTTTGGGTAGGCTACAGTCTGGCCTACTTGGAGGGACAGGAGAAGGCTCACACACAAGACCTTGGTGGGTAAAACTGGGCAAGATCGACACTAGCGGCGGCTAAAATGTGATTTTTGGTATATCGTTACAAAGTATATTGTGCGAGTGAAAGGTCAGAACTGTTCTCTCAAATCCAGACGTAGCTTGTTCGCCCTGTTTATATTTTATAAGTCTACTACACAATGAGGATTTCTGCAAAACTAGTAAATGCTCGTATCATCAAATAAACCGTTTTTGATTGATCCATGATATTTCCTTCCCTTTTTTTGTAGGTCAAGCTGGCTCTTGCTTGCCCGTGTTTTCCACCATGCCGTTCTCATACTGCAACAAAGCTGCCTGTCACTACTCCGCACGGAACGACAAGTCCTACTGGCTCTCCACCACTGCGGCCATACCCATGATGCCGCTCTTTGGCCATGAAATCAGATCCCACATCAGCCGCTGTGTGGTGTGCGAGACACTTATGCCCGCCGTGGCTTTTCACAGTCAGGATTCATCAATTCCTCAATGCCCATCTGGCTGGAGGAGCCTGTGGACGGGCTTCTCCTTCCTCCTTGTACGTATAAAATTTACACATTGGGTCTTCATCCGCATATCATTAATTTGTTTCGTATTCATGAAACAATCAAAAGTAAAAAATGAAAACGTGATTGCTTTTATCCACATTTTGACAATAATCTGTTGGATGTGCCCCCACTAGTCTAAATACGGCGTTCTGATTACGTTTGTGAAATGTGAATTGAGCATCAAAATCCACCCGTTTTTATCCCTCTGAGAGGGCGTCCATTTTGCCATTCACTGTCGACTGAAAATGACGTCACAGTGGCTCAGGGCTCAAAAATATCAAATAGCAGGCATTTGGTCTTTTTTTGTGTTGGACTGAAAAACAAATAAACTAATGTCACGTTTTCTTTCTTTCTTTATTTTTGCCAATTGAAAATTAAAAGAGCAAAAAAACCACACAAATTCGTCTTCATCTCGCTGCTTTTATATGTTATTTCACCAGCAAACAGGAGCAGGTGATGAGGGTGGCGGTCAGTCTCTGACATCTCCCGGCAGCTGCCTCAAGGACTTCCGAACCCATCCGATCATCGAGTGCCAGGGAGCGCGAGGTTCTTGTCACTACTTCGCCAACCTCTACAGCTTCTGGCTGACGGCCGTACGTCACGTAGATCAGTTTGTTAAACCGAAGCCCGGAACCATCAAGGCTGCCGAGGAGCAGCGACGCAAGGCCAGTCAGTGTCAAGTCTGCTTCCGACAGTAGAGGAACTCTGGGAGATTTGGCCCAATGGTGGAAGAAGACATCTTTGGATTACCTGGTGCTCAGGTTATTTTTGTTCCAAAAAACATGTAACTGAAAACAAAAAGAACAAATGACAATGTGATATAACTGAAATATACGATCGTCCATTTAAGCCTCTAATGAGGGCACATTCTGTGCTTGCTGCCCTTCATGACGAGTGATTCCCAAACATCAAGGTATACATTTTACATTCGGAAAATCTCACTGCACACCACCAAACAAAAATGTCACAAACATGCATAGATGGGAATTTTCTTATTCTTATTATTCTTATGTCTGTACCAAGGAATTCCAAATTTTTGTATGGCTGATGATGATCTTGACACTGTACCTCATGTACTGTTTTTGTCTTTTTTTAAGTAAAGTGTCCTCTGGGCAAATACTTGAAATGCTTTTTTTTTTTTTTTTTTAATTTTTTTTACAGTCACCCAAATTGTGTTCAGGACCCGGGATTGATGGCTCACAACTAACTCGAGCAAGGATGGGCAACTATCAATGCATGTATGAGATGTTTCTGTCCTCCAACACACCTTTTTCAAATGATCAGCTCATCAGCAAGCTCTGCAGGAGACTGATTGTTAGGTTTGGGAAACAAATCGAATCATGTTTTGGATCCCCCAGAATGCTGACACAGATAAAATGCAACCAACAATTTTTTTTTCTGATCAAAAACGCAAAACCGACAAAGTGTAAACAGAAATCGCTGGTCACAAGGAGCCAGAAAAAAACCCCAAGGCATATACAAAAAGCGCTTGCAAAAGCCAAGGTAATCGTAAAGTTAGAGAATACAAACGAAATTACAAGAGTCCAATTTACAGGACAAACAAGAGCAAGATAAAAATGACTCAATAATAGCAATACTTAAAAAAAAAACGAGGAACTAAGAGAGCAAAACGAACGAGATCGAGAGGTCAAGTGCAGCGGTCCCCAAACCTCGGGCCTGACTGATGTTTTATTTTGAAAACTTACCGGATTCTCTGTTACATCCTTCTACAGTGGCAGGTCAATGAGAGCTTCTCGGTCACGTGATAGGTTACCGCTAAAATGAAACCAAAGGAGCGAGCAAAAGGAGTAACGAGACAGTATTGGGAGTCTTACTCAAAATACGGATTTATCTCAACGGGAGATTCCCACGCACCAAGCCCACTCTGCATTATATGCGGCGATGGTGAGTTGTATTTTTCATGCAATTTGTATTTGCGGTGCATCTTATTTTGAAGGCACGTTTAAACGTGACCATAGAGACAAGACAGAGAGTGTTGCGGCCAGATCAGACGTTCCTCGTGTCATGATTCGTGTTTATTATCACGTTTCGAAAATACCACCGTTTTCATATGGGTCGTATCATATTATTTTGTTGTATTTATCCGCCACACCATAATGGCCGGTCCCTGAAAACATTGTCTGACATTAAACCGGTCCGTGGGGCTAAAAAAAGGTTGATAGACCGCTGGTCTAGAAAACAACCGTTGAGCATAAACAGCAAGCAAGGTCCATAATTCAACAGAGACTTGGCAACTTGGCAGCCCTGAAATACTTGGCGAGGCTTGATTGGAAACCAGACAAAGGTGCACCGTTGAGGAGGCACCGCCCTCCACTCCAGTTGGTGCTGAAACAAATAACACACAGACAAACCAAAACCATGACACTATTAACGAATCAGGTGTGTTGGAGGAGGAAAACAACGAAAACATGCGCACCAGCGCCCCCCCCCGTGGTTCCATTGATTCCTTCATGTCGCAGAAACTGATCAATTTCACAAGCAGTCTTTTTTTTTCCATGGCAGGTTTCAAGTTCATATTTATTTCTTTCTCTTACCAAACCCAAGTGACAATCAGAATACAGTACTTTTTTTTCCTTCCCCAAACATGTTTTTTTCTCCCTTTTTTAAACATTTTTTCGAAATACGCAAAACAAGAGAACACTCAGTGCAATAAGACAGAGGACTCTGACAGTGCGGTGCTCTCTCTACCTTTTCACAGTGCACGTTTATACACACAAAAAGATTGTACATCATCGTTATTACATTTGCAAACTCGACCCCGCCTTCCCCATGTATTAGAGTTGCGGGGCAAAGTTAACATATTTTAAACAATCAATTTTTTTTTTTTGTAATTTTTTTTTTTTTTTAGATTCAGCTTGCATACAGTGTAGCTATAGGCACGCACAAACACAGAGCTCACTCCCTTGGATACTCTCACACGCACCGGTACGACACAGAAGGGACCTCTGCAATGCCGATTGGCGCCACAGGAGGGGGTTACTGCACTTGCAACTCTGAGGGCTGGAGAGCTCATCCGTCAAACCCATACTATTTGGCAATGTGGACATTGCATTTTAATGTGCAAAAAGGGGAACCAATCGAGATGATGAAAGCAGGAGGCTGAGGTAGAGGGAGAGAGCAGAGGGGAGAAGGAACATTGTTACCAGCCTGATTGGATGTGATGGAACGATGATGGGCAGTGCAGTTTTCTTGGCTAAAACCTCAGAGATTTGGAGGAGTTGTGCAGCCCCGGTCCTTATATTCATTTTTTTTTTTTTTTGTTGAGCTGTTGCCATGACATAGGTCCTTGATGATGTCTGTAAAAGTTTTCAGCCAATCGCAATCTATCCAGGAACAAGCAATCGGGCAATGACCGCATGTCACACACACAGCCAATCCCGAATGAAGCCTTGACTTCCCTGCCAAATAAAACGCACATGGCACAGCTCGCTACTTGTCACGTTTTCAAAAATATATACTGTATATAAGTATCATCTTGAAAGATATTTCTTACGCAAGTGCATATGGCTATTATAATCTGCAGTAAAATCAAGACGTGTTCTAAAAGCTCAGGTGTTGATTGTACAGGCTGGTTGTGAGCATCAAGTATTTACACTTTATTCTGTTACTTGCAGTGTGCATGGCAAAGTAAAGGCGCCGGCATTCAATGGACCAGCTATTGCCACCAACCCCATTTTATCATGAGCAACCCATCCAAAGTGCAACCACACAGTTTCTCGCTGAAAACAGGCTTTGGCTGATTTGGGAAATGATACTGTGAATAATGTCTTTTCTAATTTGCTACCTCTCCGACACACTTGGATTGGTGTCGTAAAATACTACAGAAATAATCACACTTTCTTTGTCCGCCCCCCTACTACACTCCGCCAACGTTTTTTTTTTTTTTTCCCCCTTCAAAAGACGTAAATGAAGGGACTTCTTGCTGGAATACACAAACCGAAACGCCCAAAGATTTTGGCTTCTGTTCTAGTGTACATTTGGAATGAGCTGAAGTGGGTATGGATAGCAACTGAAAGCATGTCCATTAGGGATGGGCACTTGACTGAATTTCTTTGTTGATTACGGAAAGTTGTTTTTTTTTCTGCATTATTTATTTGTTGGGATTGTTCTGAACTCATTTTGCCGACAGAGTTGTATTGTGAAAATTCATGCCACGTGTGTGGATGAAGCTCAACTGCCCATAGCTGCCATAGTTGCGCTTCTTTCGACGGCAAATGAGTTGAGACTGAATCAACAGCGCCCAGTGCACTCCGTTTTTTGCCTTAAATGCTTCAAAACACGACTTATCAACAATCCTCTCCACACTTAACAATCGATTTAAACCCATCCCTAATGTAACTGACAATACAACAGTGAAAATGTCAAATAGTTGCAGACAAAACCAAATAGACCATTCATTTTTGTGCTTTTTTTGTTTTTTAGCACAACAAAAAAAAGTGTTGGGTGTAAAAAAGAAAAAAGGTACGGTATGCTACCACAGAACAAGTATTCATAGATCAAAGTAGCCAAGGAAACATAAAAAAAACAAAACAAAAAAAAACAAAAAGAAATAACAAAACAAATGCTAGATGGCATCTACATCTTGCTATACATAATTTAGGATGCTCTTCAATCCCCATCTGGTTTAGAAAATATCTATTCATCAAATATCTACTCTACTAGTTAGTTATGTTACAAGAATCCAGCCACATGAAATAGAAAAATATCAAATATCACCAGCGATGATAAGAAAACATGACAACCTGAACAAGCAGAAATATTGCTATGGTAACACCATCGTCCTTTGACATCAGCGAGCATCGTCCTTCCGGCGCTCGAGTTGGTTGTCTCGATGTCCCCAAGGGGGTGAGGAAGGGGATCATTCTGGGTTGTGTGGCAGATGGGAGGTGTGTTTGTACCAAGTCAGATGGCGGTGTCCCAAAACACAGTTGTCTGTGCCGGATAAGGAGGTGGACGGATCTTTTTGGCCCCGCTGCTCTTCCCACAAGGCGGGAGGGCCGAGGTGCTCTCTTGCTTGCACTGACTCCGCTCGTGGTGCCTTTCCTCGCTCCTGTCTGGGGGAGGCCTCTCCAGATATTTCTGCAATCGAGGATGTTGTCTGGAGCGGATTTCTTTGCAGAGTGTTCGCTTCCTTTCAATCTGCTCCAGCATTGTGGTGTCTCCACATATCCATGGCATCTGGGGCATCTGAGGGGCAGGAACGACATCAGTGAGTCACAGGAAGGTCTTCAGTAGCTTTCAGGTACGATTACTGTCCGTTGCCACGAATGAAAGTAAAAGGTTGCTTTGTGTGCAACCATCTGCGCTCACACTTACACCCAGGGACAATTTTGTGTGTCCAATCAGCCTGCCATGCATGTTTTTGGAATGTGGGAGGAAACCGGAGTACCCGGAAAAAAAAACCCACGCGGGCATGGGGAGAACATGAAAACTCCACACAGGGAGCTGACACATTTTTTGAAAATCACATGTTCTTACCTGGCTCTGATGAGCCTCTGCTGCTCTCCTTTGCGGCGTCCCGATTGGGGAAGGGTTAGCGGACATGGAAGGCGAGCGGGCATATTTCGGTGCTGCTTTTATATCTACAAAGACATGGACAAATGTGTCACGATAAGAAAGTTTTGCCAGGCATTGTTGGAGTTAATTTGTGTAATGTAGCCCTGAACTGAACCAAACCGTACCGCTACAATGGTCACAAGCTGTACAAGTGTGAAGAATACAAAACGGGCATTTGTTTGGGTCCAACCCCAAATGACACCACCCGTCAAGGTACATTAGCGGATAACGTAATTTTTGGAACGGACCCTCACCATTTCCGGTGGCCGCGGTCATCGGGGGGCTGCCAGCTGATCTGCTGTGGTGAGTCGGCGTCGTGGTCGATGAATGCTGACCCGACACCGCGCTCCCGTTTCTCTCTTGTGCTTTCGACAGGTCCGTACTCTGATTTGTCCTGTTCTCTCGTCGTGGCGTTCCATCGGATCTGTACGCCCTTTCTTTGCTGTCGTACCTGTACTCCATCACGGTGGGGCTCTTGGCGGTTTTACCATCATACTGATGCTGATCCGACCCGTTCAGACTTCTGTCCTTGCTGTCTCGTCTGACTTCGAGGCCAGTTCGGCTGAGATCTTTACTGTCCTGTCGAGGTGGTGGTAGCTCTCCTCCATTGTGGAGGTTTCTCTCTCTCCCGTCATGCTTTGATTCGGAAACATATCCTGACCTGTCCTTATTGTTACTGCTCCTGGGAGTTTCTTGCCTGGGAAGGATCTCAGGCGGCTGGTCAATTCTGCCCTCATGTTTGTGCTCCATGTCGTTCCTTGCCCTCTCTTTGCTGTCCTGCCTGGGTAGTAAATCAGGACGATAGTCTTTGCTATCAAGCCTGTATTCTGAACCAGTTCTAAATCTGTCTTTGCTCTCCTGTCGGGGCAGAAGCTCGGGTGGCTTGTCCCTGCTGTCGTGCTTTGAGTCCAACCCATTTCTAACTCGCTCTCTGCTATCCTGTCGCGGTAAGATCTCCGGCGGCTGATCCAGCAGTCTCTCTCGGTTGTCGTGTCGGCAGTCTACACCGTTTCTCGCGGCCTCTTTGCTGTCTTGTCTCGGTAACAATTCCGGCGCCGGATCGAGGAGTCTCTCTCTGTCTTTGCTTTCCTGTTTAAGCAAAGACTCCATTCCGTGTCCGACACCCCTGTCCTTACTGTCTCGTCTCGGCATCAGGTCTCCGTTGCTGATCCCTCTATCTTTGGAATCTCTTCTTATCAGCGGAATGGGTTCCACGGAACTACAGCTCCGTTCTTTAGGATCCCGCCTCATTGGAATGGGCTCCACGCTGCTGTAGCCTGGGTCTCTGCCGTCCCTGCTGTCCCTGCGAACGAGCGGTGCGTCCATACCGCTTCGTTCTTTGCTGTTGCGCCGGTGAGACATTGACTCCACGTTGCTGGATCTCTCCTTGTCTTTGTCTCGGTCTTTTTCTCTGTCTTTGTCTCTGTCTCTGCGATGAGACGAGTCTTTACCGTGGCGCTCCTTCGAGTCTCGCTTGGATTCCTTGCCGTGGCTGTGACGTTCCTTGCCGTCACGTTTGGACTCACCGTGGGACTTACTTTTTGACTCAGCTGTAAGTAAAAATCAGACGTACAAATAGTTATAGATTAACCTCATTGAGTCAGTCAAGTATCTAAACATGTTTTTTGACATAGTGAGTCTGGAATGATACGCAGGTTCACTTAATTTGTGCACGCAAAATCAATCACAAACTGGCATGCAAAACCCAGCATCGTTTAATGCATGAAGTTTGCCCTCTCCTATACAAAGTAGAATATCAATCAACATGATAGTCTGGTTCAGATTTGGTTGACAGAGGTGTCATGTTGGACTGCCTATTTCCAATAACGTTGCACACTCCTGTACAAAAAAATAAATAAATCACTGCATTACAAAGTTGTCCTCTAGGGGTCAGCACCTACATACAAAGAACCAAAGCAGTTCCTGAGTAATAATAATGTAGTACCACATCTGCAATACATACAGGGCCTTATTTTAACCAATCTAAAAAACTCTTATCAATGTTTCTGGCTGAAACCCCTTTCTAATATCTTCATGATGGATTCAGATCGCTCCTCAACACAACGGTAGTTCTACACATTATATTCCCGTGTGTGAACGTGTATGTAGAAACACACTAAAGCTCACCACTGCACTCCACAAAGCGGTACTGTGGTTCTCGCCGGTTCCTAAATGGGCTCTTGCATAACAGTACCAAGCAGGCATATGTGTCATATATGCAATCTGTATGCAGATGCATGTGTGTGTGGCGAATGGCGATTAACCAGTTGGTATGTGGGTCGAGCTACTTGTTTTATGCGTGGAAGAAAGAGAAAAATGAAGCTCCCGTGGTCATGATTGTGCTTGTGTGTGTACTGAGATGGATGCCAACAGCCCCCCCCCCCCCACACACACTGACACACACGCTCACACATGTGTCGTGCGACTAATTAAAATACTGCTCAATGAACGTATGGGGTTCGACAACAGCAGCAGAGCTCGCAGTAATTCATTCCTGGAAATGCATTGTTTTCTATCTCGCCTTCATTTGGAAATTATACAAAAGATGATTAAAAAAAAATGCAAATGATTCTTCTTTTCAGTCATATTCAAGTTCCATTCGTGTCAACATCAAGGCATTCTAAATGCCCTTCAGAGTGTAAAAGCTGCAGCAGCGTTCTGATTGGCTGGAACTCGAAGAAGAACACGCAGTGATTGGCGAGACAAGAGCATCTGTAATGCTCCGATGAGGTGTTAGATTGGAATTGAGGACCGTAGCTCAATGCACATCAGGAGCGTGTTGCTCCATCGAGCGCCGGCATGTCCTGAGCTGTGATTGGCTCCTTTGCACGGAGGGAGGGAAGCAGCAAATAAGAAATGGGATTCTCCTCCTTCCACTGTTGCTATGTTGTAGTTGCTAAGACTACTACAGCGTAAGGATACATTTGTGGGCTGTTTGTATGATTTAAGTACGGATCAATCAGAAACACAAGAAACATCTCAAGTTCATCTAATATCTACTGAATTGATGATTTCTTTAGCACAAGGTAGACTTCACTTTAAAATATTTGCAAAAAAAAAAAGAAAGAAAAGGAACACTCTTTGATGGCCCAAAGTTGGAAGGACCTGCTGCCCGCTTTTCACTATAATCGGCGCCGCTCCGTACGTCCATTTCCAACCAGCTCATCTACCATGAGAAGAGGAAGACCGCTCCGCCAGTTTTCCAGGCGGCATTAAACACCACAAAGGAGAAGAATGAAGACAATTCAGGTAATGCCTTCATCAGCAACTTGGCACTCTTACAAGAATAATCGAAGATAAGAAATCTCCGGCAAGGATCTCTCCTTCCTTCTCCTCCATCTCGGTAAAGGTAATTTACGGTACTACGTTGCTGTGGTGCTTGTTGTCGTAATTCCTCCGTGGAACGAATAGTTGAGCGGTGTGTTCAGGACATTGTGGCTTCACATTTCATAGACAAGGCAACTCAAGGTGTCCTCGGTTTACGACGGCCCCGACGTACGAGGTTAAGAACGGCGTGCAATGAACTCATTTGCACAGGTAAGAAGGTAAGATTACCCGGTCAGTTCTCGGTGTGCTTTCAAATTTTTATTTATTTGTTTGAAATTTTCAGGCATTCTGTGAAGACATGGAGACTGATCTCCTCTGTGAACCAAGGACCACTTGTCGTTTGCGATTGCGAGCTCTCATCACATTCAATGAACGATACCCATTGCATTTTTCGGCAAAATGTAACAAATGACTTACTCTCTCCGGGCTCTTTGGATTTTCTCCCACTGGCGTTTTTCTTCAGCATGTTCCTGCCGGTGGTAAACAGGTTGGTCAATTCATCCAGCGGGCTCGTGGGTGTTCGCGAACGCCCCGTCGACACATTCTGCATGGAACCGTGGAGTCGTCCCACACCGTCTTGGGGCGGTGACCCTTTGCCGTGAGGGGTGGCCGAGGCACTCCTTGGCAGACCTCCTGGAAATGGCACTGGAGCATCAAACGGCGGCGTTCGCATGAGGCTCAACGGGGTAAGGCAGCGACCCATACTGACTGGGGACGGGCACGCCGAGTGGCTGCGTTGATAGGACGACGCGGTGGACGATTTGTAGAGAGTACAAGGCAGGGGAGGCGCGGAGGAGCGCCCGGAAACGGTGAGGGTCGGGGTGGCCGTGAGCTCTCTACGGATGTGTGCGGAGGAGGGTGGCTCGGCAGAGGAGGTCGGGGATTTGCTGTAGGATTGGTTCTCCAGCATTGGCAATTTGGTAACATCAAGCGGGGTGAGGGGAGACTCGTCCGAGTTGGGCGAGCATTGGGCCGGCGCCGGGGGGAACACCAGCAGCGGAGGCCTGTGCGTCAGTAAATTGGGAAACGGCGCAGGAATGTCACAGAAAGGAATGTTTCTCGGAGTGGAGCATCGGCTGAGAGGCTCGGGGTCATACGGTGCTGGGGTAGGACATGCGGAGCGACACCCCACCGGGTCAGTACGATACTCCATATCATCCAGCATAGGGTACTTCATCTCCTCATACACGGACTCCCCCGGCTCCTCGTCCTCACTTTTCAAGAGTTCTCGCGCCCCGACATCTATCCCCCCCATCTCGATGTAGACGGGCTCGTCCTCACAGTCGTCGGTCGGGCTGTCGTCGCTCTGCGGCGGAGAGGCGTTGCGCTCGCACGGGGAGCAGGTGCGGTGGAGCGCTTTCGCAGGGCACACTCCTCCGCCTCCGTGAGTTTTGATGTAGGACTCGTCGAAGGAAACACTCAGCTGTGTGTTCGGGTTCCTCTTGGGTTTGGGCGGTGGCACGCGCCGGCACTCCTCGCTGCATCCTTGAGCTGTGAGAGAGGAAGATAAAGACACTCAGTCATGCCATGATAATACGCATACATTTTTTAACGGCAGAAGTCAAAGACCAAGAAACCAATTAAGAAAGAGGTAACTTGTCAAGCACGAGAAGAACTTTGAGCGTATTTTGTGTTTTCCGTGGCTGCGTGTCTGGAGCGTGACCTTGACTCGTGTGTGCGTGTGTGGGTGTGTGTGTGTGTGTGTGTGTGTGTGTGTGTGTGTGTGTGTGTGTGTGTGTGTGTGTGTGTTGCAAGCCATAATTTGATGTATGGACAGATTTCAGATACGCCGCTGCTAGATGGCATCAGATGACGCGACAACATTTTGAGCTATGATACGGTCAAATTTGTCATGAATTTGTAATTTTACATTGGTTAACTTATTTTTACACTTGTATCACAATTACAGTACATTGTTGGAACGTCATATGCGGAATATGTATCAGCCACCTTTTCCATTGTAATTAGTGGTTGTCAATGTTTTTTCAACAGCAAATGAATTATGATTTTATTTTGTTTTTACACTTGCATGATCATTAAATTATTATTATTATTATTATTATTATTATTATATTGATTCATATCTTAAATAAATAAAAACTTTTTTTTTTTTTTTACCGAAAGTGTGATTAACTCACTGTTTCCATTATCCCTATAGCTATTTGTTGTAAAGAGCAACGGGTTCAATCATTAAGTTTGGTTTTGAGATGTCCCATCTTTTTTCCCTTTCTTTCAATGAATCATTGAATGAGATTCATTCAGCGGTCACGCAGTGCAACACGTGTGGTTCAGTGGGTCATATGTAGGCCAGTGTGCATGGCTAAGAGCAGTATCTCGAATCAGGTATGTGGGAATGGTTGAGGCATATGCGTGTTTGTAGGTCACATATACAGCAGCGGATGCGGTATGCAAGTGTCGTATCTGGGTCACACACAAACACACGCTGTGGAGCTTCTTTTTGATTGCGGTGACGTGGCATTGCAGTGTGAATCTCTTTTGATGTGGTGCAGTGAGCTTATAGGATGTTTCGCTCGACCGGTTACTGCAGTAGAACACGTCATCCCCTCGGAGTGTTGCACGTTAGGCCGTCGAACCGTCGTCATCCGGTCGTCGTTCAACATGGCTTTGCGGGTCACATCTTGAGATGTTTTGATCAAGAGAGCCCCTTCCGCTGACAGGCCTGGTGGTGGTGGTGGTGGTGGTGGTGGTGGTGGTGAGGGTTGCCGAGACCCATCATGGCTGAACCTTTTCAAGCTGTCAAGTTTCGCGCTTTTAATAATTCAGACAGCAGATGGCCCAGACACACGCATATACTTCCCATAACTGTATGACTCACCAGCATCTCACACACACATGCACACACACGCACGCACACAAATTTACAAATGGTCACGCGTGAGATGGAAATGAGGACAGGTATTGCATGTGGTCCCGTGTCAACAGAGATAGGCTCCCTTTTGAGAACAACAGATTTTCAATATATCTTGAGTGACACCAGAACTAGAACTTCTCGAACACATCTTGCATTTTCTAAATTTACGTTTTTATGTTAGCCTGCAATCCTGAAGACGATAGGAATGCTTTCAAGACAATATGTTTCCTCGAGTGGAAAAATCAATCGTCATAATATTCACGCCAAGCCAGTAGTTGCCAATTCAACATCGTAAAACTAGATTCACTTCTGTGTGACCTCTAAAGAGTCCGCCTTTGCCTTTGCAAGTGCAAACTCTCAAGAGTCCGTAACTCTTGTGAAATGGCTGAGATGAACACAATGGCTACAAGGCCAATTAAAGCTGCGGGCAGCGATGAACAAACCTTCACACACACATGCACACTCACTCACACACACACACACGCACGCACGCACACACGCACACTTTTTTTTTCAGAGGCAATCCTTGAAAAGGGTGTTACACAGATAAGCATCCCAAAGCTGTGCAAAGTGGTGCTATTCATGCAGATATGTCTGTGATACGCTCCAAGGTTGCTGTTATTATGAAGGCGATGCTTGTTATATTGAAAACACACACATTCGGCTGTCCATTCAACAATTCCTGTGTGGTAAGCCGTGGATGATGAAATACACACAAGACTGGTGCACAACTGCTTGTTTCCTGATTGCCTCATCCAAATATTTTGCGTCGGGGCTCGTACTTTACACGGAGCAAAACCCCACAGCACACCACCAAATAAAAAAAATGGAACATAATATAGACACCGAAATGATGACAATCAGTCACAGCTTACAAACTGATTTTACAATCTAGCGGAAGGGCGTTGGTTTTTTTTTTTTCTGCCCGTTACTGTACAGTACGTCGCTGGCATGGATAGATGAACAAATATACATTATTTGTTGGACATAAATTCTCTCTTTTGTGACATTGAAGTGAAATTGGATCATTTCCCGAGACACAACTGAGGATCTCTCACTTCACAGTGGTTGGGAATCAGTATTTTAGTGGATTCGGGTGGATGATATGATTTCAGTGAAACATCTGTGTTGTGTAGCATTTTGATTTGTGTGCGTGTGTGTGTGTGGGGGGGGGAGGGGGGTGGTGCCTGTTGTGTTGGTGCAGGTGCATGCATGTTCCTTCATCGACAGCTGCATTCTTGTACACGCAGATTCACGCGGTGAATCAGTTTCAGCGCCGCTCGTGACATCTCCTCCTTCCCGTCCGTCCCTTCTCCTCTCCCTCGATTGCTCCCTTTCCCTTCCCTCCCTCTCCCCTGCCGTGTTTGCCCGCAACCCTGTATCCCCATCCTGAGGGAAACTAAATCTAGGTCATTCGCTCCTCCTGAATGAATTCTACTCGACCAAGCTCCTCCCCTTCTCGCTACAGTGCACGCAACCAGGAACACCCCCACAGGCTCGCCCTCATTGGCTGCACAGCCTCCGACTCCAGCATCTCTGCAGCCCTATTGGATTGCGCTGCGCAGGGATGTGGTGATTGGCTGGCCAAGGTGGGGTCTTGTTTCTGTGGGATGGTTGCCGTGGTGCCCAGGAAGATCTGTGCGCACACACGGACATCCCCACCAATCTCAGTCAGGCTGGGCGAGTCCCTTCGCATCACATTGGCAGTCGAGCATCCCGAGTGAAATGGACTCGAAAACCCTCAGCAACCTGTTTTAGTTTGCTCTCACAGCCTTGTGTTTCAACGACATAATAGAGGACTGCTTTATGCAAAATGTTCATCGGGAAAAATGTTTCTGAAGCTCATTTGATCACAATCCTCTCCATGAGAGCCTTTAGGATGCAGAGTCTCCTATAGTGAAGCCTTTGTTTTCATCCGTGGGCAAATGTGTTTATTCTGCCCAAACAGGCTGACATTGCTGCGGGGTGCTGCTCCTCGATCTTAATTATGCCATCTCTACTTCTTGACATGCCAGTTTGAAGCCAGAAAAAAAAACAAAAAACGTTTTGGCTTTAATTGGTAATTGACCTCAAACTATGGAACAGTTTTTCAGCACGTTCACAGAAATGTTAAGACCCTTTTGCTCCCTTCACAGATGACTGTGCAGCCGCCCCCACAAAAACATTGTATGAGCAGGATGAGTTCACACAACCATCCACTGGGCCAAAGTTACACGGTGAATCTGAGATGAAACAAACAAACAAAGCCGCAAAGTCAGCTGGAATTAAGAGGACAAGCGGTAAAGGAAATGGATGAATGGATGGAGTCAAACATTGAGATGTTTCAAACATTTTGTCCCTCACGTATGGAAAAATAAACCGACCAAAATATGCATTACACGAGTTTCAGGTCACTTTTAACGTCACTGGCATTTTTTTTTTTTTGATTGTTTGACAAATAAAAGGTTTGTGATTTATACTTTCTGTACTAAATGATGAACGTCTGTTGTGTTCTTCAAAATGATATTATGTGGTAACGGGTCACTAACAGTGTAGCGCTTCACATGCCCGACTTGGTTTTCTGTCTCTGGATATGCCCTGTGATTAACTGGTGAACAGCCAAGGGTTTATTCTGGAATGGACCCCGGACAGGATAAATGGTATCGAAAATGGATGGTTGGATACTAAAATAATATGTTTGGGCTGTGGTAAAGAACCACATTTTCCGGTTTATATTGTGAAGCATTCTTTGACGGCAGTGATTCTCAGAAGTGTGGGATGTTGGCTCCCTCTAGTTTTACGTGAAGGAATCACTGCCCCAGTGTAGTTCCGTTGTATTTAACTTTTACATTCAATATGTTTGCATTTAATTGTTAAGAACTGTTTTTTAAAATATATATTTATTAATTGATATTGTATTTTGGTTGGTGGAAGTCAACTCAAAAATGTTCTTCAAGTTATTCAGGGCTCGGGTAAGAAGCGGACATGTTTGGTCATGTGATGTTCTCAAGCTGAGTCGTGATTGGTCATTACCTGCCTGAGCATTTGTGATGTCATCTTTGGTCGACGCCAAGTGGCAAAATGGCCACCCCGTGAGATGGATACAAACGAGTGGATTTTCTTGCTCAATACAAGGGCAATACTGATCAGAATTCCGTATTTAGACGAGTGGGGGGTGCATCGAACATATTCTGAAGACATTTTTACGTGACTTTCTAATTTTTACGTGCAATACTTTAAAGATCGTGAATCATGGTGTACAGTTCCTGTTTTTATTGACCCATATGTAAGTGCCATGTTGATGTGAACCATGTGTAATGTTAAAGAGGTTTACAATAATATGAAATATTTTTTGTAGAACTATGCCTCGTTTTTTTTTTTTTTTTTTTTGATGAGCGCTTAGGCCTTTGTATTGTAATAGCGGTAATGATGGTTATACTTGTAGAGCGATATATTTTTTGGTGTGCTACTTATTTTTTGGTGTGCTACTTGGTATCCAAAGTACTTATTTACATGTATTCAGTGAGGCATCTGTTAATCCAATTGTGTGTTACTGTGGTTAAATCTGACCGGCTCGCTAGATGTCATGTCCGTGTCGAAGAAGCAGGGTTGAAGAGGGCACCTCAGAGAGGCGCTAAATATAGCGCCGCACTTTGGTGTGAAGTGCCACCGCCACTCACCATCACATCTGTCTCCACGACAGGCGGACACGGGGCTGTGGTCCACCGCTTCGGACGACATGCTCAGCTTGGTGGCCGGGTCCCTCCTGGGCTTGGGCGGGGGCTGCTTCCTGGAGGTTGGGCTTCCCACCTCTTCGTCTGCGCCCCCACTGTTGCCACCCACGGAGTGGAGGGACTGGGAGCGCACAGAGAAGCCCTGCCCACAGGCCAAAGCGTGCGGGTGGGGCATGGGCATGCGTTCCGGCGGGTCTGGCATGCTGATGGAGCCCATACGTAAGTGCTTGCCTTCCGTTGCTATGTCCTCCCCCGTCCTACACAAAGGTAAAAAGGAGATGTTGTTGGAATTACATGCATGTCATCCAAGCCGTCCAATTTAACATTGAGTGGTGCCTTTCCTACAAGTTGAATTTGTTCCGTGACCACGCAAGTGCGCATGCCTTTGGCATGGCAAAGACTCTGCATAACTTCCAGTAACCTAAGCTCCTCCCTGAGGTACAAACATTTTAGGATCTCAGTTTTCTTTCAACAGTACTTTCTTGACACTTGCTACTACTTTCCTATTTGCCAGGGCTTTTACAACATTTTAGGGTGCTGCAAAAAAGAGCACATATATTTTTTTGTGAGGTTTTTGTCTAATAGCTGAGGATAGGCTTCATACAAGAAACAAAATCTGAATAAGTGAATTTGTGAATAGTGAACCACAAATAGGCATGAGTTCACATGGAGGGACAAGACATTCACAACAAATCCTTGCACCCTTGTCCATGCTCCGGGCAGTAAAAGAACACTCTTTCCATACAATACATAATCATCATGGCATGTTTCTCCTCTCTCCATCTCTCTCTCTCTCTCTCTCTCTCTCTTTCTCTCTCTCTCTTTTGCATTTCTGCGCATGTCACATGAGCGTTACATCACTGTTAACAGCTGTGCCATCGCCCTCTGTAAACTGCTTCTTTTTCAGGGCAAGGCATTGATTCGAGTTTAACTTCCGGATAGGACCGACGGCGCTCACATTATCACACTCAGAATGGCACCACGTGCCCCCGCCTCACAGAAACCCCGCGCGGGCGTGCACACAATCACCCATCATCAATGAATGGGTGATTGGCCTAAAAGGAGCGTTAATGATTTCTGACGGGAGTGATGCTAATGAGGGTGCTTAAAAGGAAGAACGCAGATGTCAACATCTGAGAATTTGTATTTATTTATTTGTAGTGTTTGCATTTTATTGTTTTGCCTGTATTTTTTTAGTCAGGTTAAAGTAAGCTATGGTTCAAAGTAAGGTTAAAAAAAAATTGAAAATAAAAATGCCATGAAGCTGCCTTCACATGTTTTTTATATGTGTTAGACCCCTGGGTGTGTGACTTTGCTGACTCTGATACCCCGCCGGCCAGCTGTTGCACAGAAGGCGCACAGCGGGGTCTGGTCCGAGCTGTAATCTGCCTAGCAACGCAGCGGTACCCATAGAAACAAGATAAAGAAGCCAGCCACAATAATAAAGCCGCACGTGGACTTGTCTGGCATGTACACAGATTGATGAAGCAGATCTTTGGCCAACCTGTAGAATCGTAGTGCTTATGTTGTTTTAATGAACCGCAATGTGTTCATTGTTTGGGAAAATCTTACAAACGTGCCAGCTTTGCAATTGCTCTTGTTCTTTGTCTGCCAAGATATTTCTTCTTACCAGGCAATCTTTGTGTTGTATTTCACTTGCTTATTTATAACTTTTAATGAATGTTATGAGTAAGTTTGTCTTAAAATAAGACACGCTCTACATGGCGAAAATAGAGCACAGATCTGCTTCTTAGTGCGTGCAAACCAATACGCTAATAATTTTATGGGGGAGGGGTGGGGGCTTCATTGTGTTTATTTGTTTTTTTAACGTCAACATTTGTTGTTGTATTGGCAGATAATTTTGTTCAAATAATTTTGTCATCTATTCCTCGTTTCATTACTTTTAGTCCTTATATTTTTGCAGGTGGCAAAAAAAAAAATTTGACTGGTATTTATATTTGCAGGGCGCCTTTGAGCTCCCAAATACATGCATTTTGTCTCAACAAGTAGGTTTTATTTAGCGGCTCTTTAATCTGTGATTGGCTTTGACAGGTGCAATAACACAAGTGAAAATACACCCTCAATATTTCTGCGTGTGTTTGCATGCACAGTTTTTTTTGAATTGAATATATGAAATCCATATCGGATGGAGAAGGCGGGAAGGCCTGCCTCACTCAAAGCTAACGTGTTGATCTGATTGGCCGTTGGCTGTTTCTGCTGTCACTAGGCAGAAACACATCTCCGCAATGTTGCTCGCATTTAATCACTAACATTTTTCTCACTTGTCACCCCCC